TCTTTCAGGTTGAATACAACCATTATTATAAGCTAAAATACTTTATTTTAAGCGTTATTATAATGGAATATATAGTCTTTTAGTGTATAGCAGAACCTAAATTACGAAAATATTTCGATTTAATATTATAAAATAATATTATAAAATCACCAAAACTGTCTACTTCAATGTAATTTTTTCCATGTATTTGCTTATAAACATATCTATTTTAATTATTTTATCAAAATACATGTAATGTTAAATATCCAAAAAAAATTTTAGCTCGTTTTATTTTGTCAATTATTTTATATAATTCTTTTAAAAATACTATAAAACATCATGCGCAGGCACCGTTTGATTCAGTACGCTCCGGGTAATCCCAACGACAGGACGTACCACTTTTTCTCACCGACACCGCGCGATCGCGTTGATACACCGATAGGGATATACTACACTATACTATAACTAGCTACCTATAGCACCATCGCGCATTTTAAACGATTGAGACTTTTATAAGCGATATTTTTGGTAGTAAGTAATTTTGAAATATGTTTATGATTGTAATATTTAAATATTAAATGATGTAATGGTGGCAAATTTTCATTTCATATATATATTTTTAGAAATGAGTAAGTAATGAACGTAAGCAATTCGGATCAAGTAAAAATATAAAATCGTTGGCTTTCACCTTTGGCTCCGTGGCGGAGTGACTTGGTAATGAGTTGTAGCGCTGAGCGCCGCAGGTTCGAATCCCGCATTGAGCAAAAATTTGTATTACCTACAAATAATTGTTCCAGGTCTGGATGTTTGTCCTTGTGAAATTAATGTATTTAAACTGCCCCAACGATGTACTTAGGAAAAATTCCTAGTGCGGAGATAACGTTATGATTAAACAAAGACATGCCATCAAAAACATAACTTGTAAAATAACCAAGTCTCGCAATGATGATACGGCCGTGCCGCTGTTTTGCTCGACTTGGCGGGGGCACTACCGTGCCCCCAGACATAAAACATATGAGCCGTGCTTGAGTTGAGTAGCTCAAGGGCGTAGTCGTAGTGCTCGCCGTAAACGCGAACAATCCGGGCTCGATCGCCGCTAGTGTTGCCAGGTGTCCCGATTTGCGCGGGACGTCCCGATTTTCAAGGGTCTAGTGACACGTCCCGATTCACCCTTCATCGGGACGCCAAATGTCCCCATTTTCACTAACATTCTTATTCTATACTTTAATCCATAATTTAGACAGCAAAAATGATTATATCTGTTAGCTACTACCACATTAAAATATTTTTACTACGACATTGTCTCACTAGTCGAAAAAAACCACAAAAGTTTTAAACAGAATTATATTAAAATGAGTGATTTGAAAAATTCAAGGACTGCAAAAAAAAAAGCAAATAGTTCAAAAATGTTTTAATTTGCTTAAAATGAAAAACAAAATCAGTTTTTACGATGTTTGGATGAAAAGTTATTCGTTTATGAGATCAGACCCGAATAATAATTATAAAGCACAAAAATAAAATAAAGTTACAGTCACAATTTCTCGCATTACTTGCATGTGATATTTACACTTTACAGTTAGCGTTGACCATCTGAGCTACCACGGCTCTCAATAAAGCACAAAAAGGCTACAAAGAAACCTATATTTTGTAGTCATTGTAGTTGTCCGGATATGAAAACCAAATCCCCGATTATTTTTACCTTCCGTCCCGAAATTTTACTTGCTGGACCTGGCAACACTACTCCCCGCCGACACTAATGAAATTGTTAGTTTGTGATGAATTATGTTTACATTATGAAACAGAATAAAAGTTTATCAAATGATATATATTTTATACAATACATATTTTTCAATTAGAACATATACATATTATAATATACCTACTCAATAGGGTGAAAATGTAAAGCCGACTTCAATTTACTAAAAGAATAAAACAATTTCCACATATTAGCCTCCGATTTCTATACACTATATAAGCCATTATATGTAAATTATTTTTTATTATTTTAGTTGCAATAGTATCAAAGACAGGTATATAATCAAAGATCAAAGTGATTCGTAGTCGTCGTTAGGCAACTATTATAGCCTCACGCTCGTCCTGACACGCACACAGAGATAACATTGTAGTGTGCGTCATTATTACGCCGTTCCAAAGCGATCGCGTAGATTTCGACTTGGACATATTTGAATATGCGCTCTTAATTGACTTGCCGAGTTTTTCATCTTGTACGAACTTGTGCACGCTTATCGACTTATTGAGTTTTTTAAAAGTACAACAATGATACTTACTACTAAAATATTAGCCAGTCTTATAACAAGTTGGTACACGTAACACTACTTATACAGTGTCTTGAAAGTTTCATATAAGAAATTTTGTTAATTAATAGGGGTCAATTTTTAGACCTCGTCGACCCACAAAATCAGTTTCCGTTTATGTTGACCCCTGGGAAACTGATTTCGACCCCAAAGGGTCGATTCGAGCATTTTGGGAATCCCTGCCCTATACGAAGGTTTATCGACCAAGTTGGTGATATATTGAATTTAGACTAGATTAAGAGTATCTTTTAATGATTAGCATGTATGCGTAGGTATATGTAAAGAAGGGAAGAGAGGCGTGCCAGGATTGCGCTAAACGGAAGTTCACAGCCTACCCCTATGTGTGACAGGCGTGAGTGTTTATGTGTAATATATACAATACCCAAAGCTTTTTAAGCCTTTTTAATTAGTACTTGTGTTCCGATCTACGCAAAATGAGCTTACTGTGTCTTGAAGTCTAGCAGTGGTATGTTTAGGTTTAGTTTTGATATTATTGATTACAGGATCCCAAGTAGGTGGTATTTTCAGCCTCCTTCTGTATTGAAATAAGGATGTATTTATTTCAATAGCCTCATGTGACATCTGTGGTAGGAATCGATGTTCTTGTTTGTGGTCTACCAAATCTGATGTAGTGGCGGGGGATATGACCACATAAAACAGGTGCGGCGTAAAAGAACATGTAGCTTACGTGAAACACCAACACTCCGGGTAATCTGCAGTTTGTTATCATATCCTAGAAGGCCCCAGCTTGCTTATAAATACTCATCTAAAAGTGCCACCTAGTTTATTAGTTTATGGGTTCCACATATAGATAAACTAGATAAAATATAGGCACGAATTACTCTTTCACGCAAAGTTGTAAGTTACGTATGTCCTAATACCAAAACAGTTTGTTTATGACAAGAAATATAAAATCCAGTTATGTGAACCCTAGAGAAAACTACGTAAAGTACTTCGATCATTGATCCCGGTGTATGTAATTACTCTAAGATCTCGTGAATTTAAAGCAGGGAGAATAATCACTAGATGCCATGTTATTTAAAAATATTTTTGGTGCCATTAGCCTGAATATATTACAAAATTTCCCTTTGGATATTTCCATTAAATCCCACCACTCTACGCTGGTATTCTGTGAGACCTTGATGCAATCCCGGCTTTGGCGTGACTTTATCACGTAAATAGTGTGGCATTCTATCATAATACTAAAAGGTGATGTGACGCTTCAGCATATTGTGAACAGTTATGAGAACAAAATTCAAATCGGATTAGGCAGTATAGTCTTAGACCTTTGCCTGCCGTAATGACGAATCCAAAGCGCAACAACTATTTGCTTTTCTAATCAGTCTAGAGGTAAGGTGCATGGAGTATAGAGGTAAGGAGGACAATCTCCCATAGGAGAATAGTTGAAAATATGTCCATCTGTAAGCAGTAAATAAGAATTCAAAAACTGTCTACAACAGCGTTCGAGAAGCTACAGGGTATGATAAATCGCCGTAAAATACATTGATAGTGATTTTGAAATTAAAAATTTTGGAAGCAATAAAATAATTATTGTAAAAATAATTATGGTGGAAGTCAAAATAAAAAATATAAAAAATTCTTTAAAATTTAGACTGTAGCTACAGTGGCCTTATTTAGCGCTTTCCTTCGGGTACTTTTTTATACAGAGTCTGTACTCCATACCTCTACACTCCATAAGTCAGTGTCATGTCACGTTAGTACTCTTATTAGTTTGTGGTCATGTCAGTGTGTCAGATACCCGGCCGATCATGGAGGTTAGAGAACAGGAGAACGATCGCTGTAGAAAATAGTGTCTCAGAAATTTAGACAAAATAATTGCGGCGCTGCGATCGCTATGTTGTCTCAATAAAAGTGGTCTGTTGTGCGCTAGTTTGAAATGATTATAATATCATTCAAAGAAAAAAAAGAATATAACGAAATTAATTATTATTATATTTATTATTTAATATCCTCTTCTAACTATTATTATTATTATCTATTAATAAATAAATTATAAATTATATTTTATATACTTTTAATTATTATACATTACTACGAATATAAATTGTTAAATATTATTGATTTATTATTTTATATTATTTCACCATTTTTAATGCTTCTTTTCGTCAATAATTAAAAAATTACTTCGCGGATACTAGGTAATTACCGACGGCAGCGCGGCTATAAATTCTACAAATTTTCAGAGACAGGCGGGCTATGCTTTAGCACGTAGCGATCGTTCTGTTCTCTAACCTCCATGCGGCTGATACAAGAAATTCTTTTCTCAGAAGGGCTAGAAGCCAGAGCCGTAAAGCCAGTTAATAAAAAAATATGTATGTCACTGTCAGTGTCACCATGATGTCAGCTGTCACTGTGTCACAACAGGTCAGATCAGATCACAACAGCGATGTTACTGTTACTGTGGTTGTGTTATATTTTGTTGTGATATTTAATTTCGATTTAACATAAAGTTCCTGTTGATTTTAATATGACTTCTTTATAAATTACATCTCTCTAGAATATGCTTACGTGAGAAATCTAACGATAGAGGCTTACGAGAAATTATACGTTTTTGTAGTATCTTTACTCCACCAATGTTTACAGTTAACGTAAAAATTTACAATAAGGACATAACAAGGGTAAAATGACCAGGAACTGTAATAGTAAAAAAATATATGATTGACTTTTAACAAAAAAATGTTCAAAATGCGGTTTAATTTACGAAGACTGATTATAATAACTATTGCATTAGTAGCATTATGGTATCTTGTATTACATTCATCGCTGTTAGAAGCTCCAAGTTCTGTCTCACCACGGCATCGCGTGGTTGATATAGAGAATAGAATTAATAAACTACAGCTCCAGATGAACCAACAATTAACAGATAGTAACAATTTGCTGGATAAAGTCAAACTTCATTTGAAAAAAAAAGACCATATCTCGAAGGAAGTGGCAAAAGATACAATTCAAAATGAATTGGATGTTGAAAGTAAGTAAACTGTTTTACTGATTATGATAAGCAAATAATATTCACAACTGAAACTAAATGTAAGGTCGACGATGGGGCAAGACCGTGAGATTTAAATTTCCACCGAATTGTGTTATATTTTTAAATGCTAGCAATATGGTATACGACGCCATTTCATTCTGCCATGATCCTAAGTTCTAGCAAGTCGCTCTGGAAAGTAAGTCATGTGCTGCACGGCATTTTATAAAACAAGGTAGTTTTTGTAATTTTTTGTCTTTCCCTATCACTTTTATTTGCAAGCCAGAATATTGCTTCTTTTGTCATAATTTTGTTTGAATACTAAGTTTTATAAAGTTCTAGCTGCATAAAACTAGTGCAAACAGGGCTAAGATCACTGTAGGCCGAAATCCGATGTTTCTCTGCGCAAGTGAAGATTGGATAAATTTAATCCAATCTTTACCTTTTATAAATATAGCAGTGGTTGTCAAACTTTCATTTCTTTCGAAGATTGCTCAATTGACTATAGAGCTCAGTATTACTTTCAAATCTATTGTGTTTTAATGTACCTAATTGAGCTTAACTTTTAGGATAGCTATATTACTTTTAAATACACATTAAAATCATTCTTTGCATGTTGTAGCAAAATTAGAATTATTGATACAATTAAGAGGATTGTGAAGCTGTAAATTTTCATACAAAAAGCGATAATGTTTTCCCACCCATTAGTCCACCACCACATAGTCTAATTTTCTTAATTTTTGGAAATGTTGTGGATATGACAAAAAACTAGGTCCATACATTTTAATTGTAAAGAAATATTATGTACAATATAAGTTATTAGCATCTAAATATCTATCTTTTTGACTTAAAAAGCTCAAGCATTATTATTTTTCTTAATTAAACTGAACTGATTTACTAAAAACTAAGGTGTACTGAATCTAATGAGACCAAAATTATCTCGTTTCGTAAAGGTTTAGGGGGGTAAAAATGTTATTGCCCGAATAAATATTTCAATAAAGAAATGTAGGCAATTGCTTCCAAGACTTGCAACTCTCTCTATCGCACAATATGGGTCGGGAGGCAGGGGCATACTGCTGTAGTTGTGGTTTGTTGTTATTATATGTCGGAGATTTTATCAATATACATATATGTGTAGATTTGACGGCTAAATGGCGCAGTAGCTCTGTAATGAGTTATAAAACTGAGGGCCGCGGGTTTGAATCCCGCATGGAACAAGTATTTGTATGGCCTACAAGTAATTGTTCCGGGTCTGGATGTTTGTCCCTTTGCAATTTATGTATGTAAACTGCCTCCACAATACAGGAGAAAATCCTAGTGTGAGGGTAACATAAATAAAATAAAAAAAGTTATTATTATGGTTTATGGAGCAGAAAATAATATTGAAAACCTACACAAATAATACTTTTCATGAAAAATTAATATCTGTGAATTGCTTCATTGATTAGGTATTTAGTCCTTTTATTTTAGTCTTTATTGAATAAGGACTGTAACTTAAAAAGATTTCGAGATTAAACTTAATTAGGTAGGTGAATAAATAAAAAAGTAAAAACTTGAGGAAATTATTTTTTATTACTACATATTACTTTATTACAACTCTTTATCGAGCTGCCATATTTCTATATACTCGAGGGTCAATCAGTTTTGGTTATAAACATTGAAAATATTGGAAACCGGCTTGTTCCGGAGACTGGAAGTTGTCGAGTCTGCGTGCGAGATGATTCGTAATGACTCGAAAACAGCACGTAGATGCGGCTCAGAAGGGAAATCGGTCTGTAGTTCTTCAAGAGAGCTTGTGTCGCCTTTCTTGAAGAACCTCCTCCGGAGTAGTGCCACCATGGAGGACGAAATTGAAGAGCTTCTGAAGGACTTTAAGTACCGGTGTTCCACCCGCTTTCAGAAGCTCCACTGTAATTCCATCCTCGCTTGGGGCCCTGCCGTTTTTAAGGTGCTGGAGAGCCATTCTAATCTCGCTCATACTGACGTCTGGGATACCATCGAAATAGTGCCAGATAAGACTTGCTCTTGGATCGTTACTCACACTTGTGTGTGGCTCTAACGATGGTGTGTACAGCTGCCCATAGAACCTCTGTTTTTTTTTTTTGGTTTTTGTTTTTGTGTAAAAACGAGGTAGGTTTTTTTTTTTTTTTTCTCCTTTTATTATAGGGCTTTTCCCATAGACATCTATATCTATCCTCAATTAAGAATCAAAATGCAAATGCGTTGTCATCCCTAAGAATTAAGATAGAATGCCTCCTAACCTATAGGTTAGCAGAACATAAATCTAAATAATAAGGCACTAGAAATGCCTTCTACTGTCTTAATATCGGGACGCGTGTCGCCGTTTCGCAGCTAGCACACATAGAACTCACACCAAGCGATAACTAATTAACTGAAAGTGTCTCAGTAATAGACACTTTTAGTCTTAGCTTTAGCTGTTAGACATTTTATAATTAGCGAAAAGGGGATATAATAAAATGTTAAGGATAAGTATATCCATTTATCATTAATATCTGGATCTTTTGGAAACCTGGAACAGGAGTATTGTATAAAATAAACAGATGTATAATTAAAATTAATACAATAATATGAAGTGGAAGCTTTGCTTCCGCGGTGAGTGTAGGTAGCCGGAGGCCCAATTCCCCCCCCCCTCTTAACATGGTAGCGGAATTAAGTAAAGATATACCCCAGGAGAGTACCAGCACCCCTGGAGAATCCCTCGCTGAGCATCCACGACCAAGTTACTCCACTCCTGAGCGTGGGTGCTCAGGCTGCCCTGCGTATTCTGGGGGAGCAAAATTCCGCTCAAGACAATAACTGCTCGGATCAAACTGAGCAACAAGACCAAGGTGACCCTTGCCACGCTATCCGTGAATTTCTGCAATATCAAGAGACTTCATTCGTGCGTCGTGGACTACATGCGTTTAGGTTATAAACGCCATCCACTACATTCTCGAGACGGCGAGGCCGGCTCTGCTCTTTCTGACCGAGACTCAGGTGTCCTCTCCGGCTGATGCTTCGTATCTCTCCTACCCGGGGTACAAACAGGAACACTCCTTTGTGCCTCGGGCTGGAGCTTGCGTATATGTCGGAGAGGACATCTGTTCTCGAAGTCTCGGCAGTCTTGAAGGTTTGGACTTGTCCATCCTTTGGCTACGCGTAGAAGGGACCATCCGCGCGTCTACGAGTGCCTCTATAGGCCCCATAGCTGTAATGCCGAAACAGACCGACTCTTCGACCACTTATAAATGGCTACAGATTCGTTGCTACAGCAGATCCATACGCAGAGATCGTGATCCTCGGCGATTTTCACGCCCACCAGCTGAATGGCTTGCTTCATGTTCAACCGATCATGCGGGGAGATCTGTTCATGATTTTGCCTTGGTATATGGTCTGACACAACTGGTTACTTCGCTTACGCAGATTCCAGATGTGGCAGATGTGGATTTGTGGATGATGACCTCTCAGCCGGACGGATATCAGATTTCCGTCGACGCCCCTTTAAGATTCTCGGACCATTGTCTTGTCCGGAGTGTGGTGCCACTCACGCTGAAATCGCGGTTGCATTCTGCTGGCTGCCGCCGAGTTTGGCACTATAGGTCAGCTGATTGGGATAGGATGCGTTGTTTCTTTGCATCCTACCCTTGCGGGTTTACTTCTCGCCGGACGTTCTCAACGTTGTTGCTGATTCTGTCGCTGATGTGGTACTTCAGGGTATGGAACTTTTTTTCCTTCCTCTGTGGTGCCCATCGGAGGCAAATTTCAGCCATGGTTTGGTCGCTTCTGTAAAATAGCATCATGCTATAAGCAGGAGTGCTACCAAGCCTGGGCTGACATCAACGTCCCGGGATGTAAACACCAGCGCTCTAAAAAAGAAGTATAATTCCGCTTCCAGGTCCTTCAAAAGAGTCATTGTCAAAGCAAAGTCAGAGCACATAGGCAGAATTGGCGAGAAACTAATTCGCCTTCCTTCTGGAACCCGTGCATTCTGGTCTCTCGCCAAGGCTGTCCAGGGGAATTTCTGTTAGCCATCTCTGCACAGGGAGGACGACTCACTGGCCCATGCCGCAAAGGAAAAAACCGATCTGCTAGGCTCTTTCTTTGCGTCCAACTTAACTCTTGATAACGGGGGAGTACGCCACCGACCATCCCGCGGTGTGAGTGCTCCACGCCGGATGTGCGGTTCACACAGCGCTCGGTTCGCAAAGCACTCCTCTCCCTGGACATCCACAAGTCGAGTGGGCCTAACGGTATCCCCCTAATTGTGCTGAGGACGTGTGCTCCAGAGTTGGCACCGATCTTAACGCGTCTTTTCAGGTACTCCTACTCATTAGGCGTAGACCCAAAATCATGGAAGACGGCTTTCGTCCACCCGATCCCTAAAAAAGGTGACTGCTCAGACCTATCCAACTACAGGCCCATCGCTATCACCTCCTTGTGCTCCAAAATAATGGAGTCCATTGTAAACTGTCAGCTCATGAGGTACCTTGGGGGTCACCAGCTGATTAGTGATCGCTAATACGGTTTTCGTCGAGGTCGATCAGCTGATGATCTTCTGGTCTACCTGACTCATAGATGGGCGGCGGCAGTAAAGTTCAAGGGGGAGGCATTGGCCGTTAGTTTGGAAATTGCGAAGGCCTTCGATCGGGTTTGGCACAAAGCTTCTTTCGAAGCTCCCTTCCTATGGGCTTCCCGAGGAATTGTGCTATTGGATCACCAGCTTTCTTGTAGATCGGAGCATCAACGCGTTGTAGACGGTGCAAGCTCCGATTACAAGCCTATTAATGTTGGTGTTCCACAAGGCTGCGTGCTATCACCAACGCTGTTTTTTCTGCATATCAATGATATTGTTACGAGCTTGAGGTTCGTGACAATAAAAATTGCCGATAAAATTACCTAAATTAACACTTTAATTTACTTTACACAATTAAAGTTAAAACACTAATAATTTAAACACACTAATTCACTTAATTCCACTCCGAAGCTTCGCTTGTTTCGCCCAA